GCGTATGTTTCTCAACCGGAAGGATTTGTTGACGAGTCAAAGCCTGACCCTGTATACATCCTTGACAGAGCCTTGTATGGTCCAAAACAAGCCCCGAGAGCCTGGTATGATATTCTATCTGAATTCCTTGTGAAGTCAGGCTTCTCGAAAGGTAATATTGACACAACTCTCTTTATTAAAAAGGGAAAGTCTGACATTATCTTGATATTGATTTATGTTGATGATATAATATTTGGATCTACAAATCCTAAAACTATAAAAACTTTTATGCCTTAATGGTTTCAAGATTAAAAATGAGCATGATGGGTGAGATGAACTTCTTTTTGCGTTTGCAAGTCAAACAATTATCTTCAAGAATTTTTATTCGTCAAACAAAATATATTTCTGATATCCTGAAGAAATTTAATAATGGAAAATTGTTCTTCTATAAAAACATCTATGGCTCCTTGTTCAAAACTACATGTTGATCCTTCGGGTAAAGCTGTAGATCAGAAAACCTACAGAGGCATGATTGGTTCTTTGATGTATTTAACTTCTTGTAGACCTGATATTATGTTCTCAACACATCTCTGTGCCAGATATCAGGAAAATCCAAAAGAGTCCCATTTAAGTGTAGTTAAACGTATTTTTCGGTATCTCAAAGGGACTGCTAATCTAGGTTTTTGGAATCCTAAGGGTATTGGTTTTTAGATGACTGCCTACTCAGATGCAGACTATGCAGGGTGTATGTTGGACAGGAAGAGCATTTCGTACGCTCAATTTCTTGGAGATATTGGTAAGCCGAGCATCAAAGAAGCAAAATTGCGTGCCAACCTCTACTGCTGAAGCAGAATATGTAGCTGCTCCTAGCTACTGTTCTCAAGTTATCTGGATGCGCACACAACTCAGAGACTACGGTTTTTCTTACAATAAAATTCCAATTTCCTATGATTCAAAAAGTGCAATTGCAATTTTTTGTAATTCTGTTCAACACACCAGAACAAAACATATAGATATCCGATATCATTTCATTAAAGATCATGTTGAAAAAGGAACTACTGAATTATATTTTATAAATACATAATATCAGCTAGCTGACTTATTTACAAAAGCTTTAGATGAAAAACGCTTTAGCTTTTTAATATCTAAGTTAGGTATGTTGAATTTGAAATTTTGAATTTTTCTTAAAATTTAATCAATGATTTGAAAATCTTATGTTTATTAGTTAAACTGATAAACTTTTGATTTCTATGTGATTGAATTCAGTTTAAGTCAAATTCAGTATTTCAAATATCTGTATTTTCAAATATAAGTCAGTATGTGTGATCAAATTTTTGAATTTGAATTCTATTTTTGAGGGGGAGTGTTGAATCTTTTTTATCTTGATCATTTTTCTATGGGGAGTAAAATACCTACTGAATACTAACTGATATAATTTTTACAGGTATTTTTCAAAGACTCAGCTTTAATCGATGAGAACTTTTAGGATAAAGGTCTGTCCGATAAGGACCTTATCCGGACAAAGTGTTGTCCGGTGAGGGTTTAATCCGGACATAACTATGTCCGATGAAGATCTCACTCGGACAAGGCATGTCCGATGAGGACCTTATCTGGACAAGGCCTATCAGATGAATTCTTATACGAACAAAGCTTTGGTCGATGAAGATGTGTTCCATAGAGATGTTAATCGATGAAGAGTGTAAGCTTGATCGATGAAGAGTGTAAGCTTGATCGATGAAGAATCCCATTTGCACATCAATTATTGAAGAGAGCTTGACATGACATTTAAGATACCGTTTGATAGCTTCGATTCCTCTAACAACTCCTTCCAATCTCACAGTCTAGTTGCGGATTTCATGATACAAATGTTCTGAGTCTTTTAAGAACATATTCGGAAAGTCAGCTTCGCTAAAACTCCAAACTTGTCCGTCTTATCTTGTCACATAAAACACTGGATACCAGACAATGACAAGCTTCAATATTCTTGATTGAGACAATTCGATGCTTGGTTCGTACAAAGCTGATGGGTTAACGTTTAGCTTTGAGAAAGTATTTGTATTCTTTGTGATATTCACTTGTTTCCTTGTGAATACCCAAAATCTTATTTGTACTCGAGGCTTTTCGATGACGAACAAATACGTTGAAATAAATGTCTTCAAGATATGGCTCTCTGATTCTCGCTCTGTCAAATCCTGGAACATTTGATCGAATAGCAAAAGGTACGTACTTCCTTGTAAATATCTCAGTTGCAGCTTGAGAAATGGAAGATGTATCGGGAACACTTGGTGACCCGGTAAGAGCTAATTCAGGTATTTCTTGAGGACCGGATTGAAGTGGGAAGATAGGATCATTTTCATCCATATCTGCTTCAAACTCAAAGAATAAATCATCTGAATCGTCATTTTCTTCTGTTTCAGCATCATAATCTTGAACTCCTCCGATTTCCCTTGAAAGACATCATTGAATACCACATTAGCTGACAGACCCAGTAACAACCTTGTTTCTACTGTGGAGACCGTCGGCTTTTCAACCATTGGCTCGATCTCTGGGTCTGTAGTCACAGTCACCTCTTGACCTGTAGTCCGTTAACTCATCCAGCTTGAACCGGACTTTGAACATTACGCTCCTTAGAGTTCTCTTCTTCAGATACCACAACTTCATTGCCCTTTGAAGACTCAACCGACCTCTGTCTTTTGTTCTCCCCTCATGGTGATCAAGATCGTCCTGATCATCATGTCTTCGTTTCAGAGAGGTGGCCTGAGCTTTGCAAGTATCCTCCAGAATTGAAACCCTTTCAAATAAGATATCAATTAAGTTATGCATATTGGCTAAGGCTTCGGTAGTTGAAGCAATTGTAGAGCCAAGTTTTGTAAGACTTGAAACTATAACGCTTTGAAAAAATTTAAATTTATTGAGGAATCCCAATCCATTACCATACAAGGCTCTGTCAACCTGAAGAGACCAGATCAAGAGCTAGAAGACATTGATGGCTATCCTCTGTACATGATTCTTGAAGATCCAGAGTTCGGGGTGGTATATGAAAATTCTGAGAAAGCTAAGAGATTCCTAAGGTTCAGTGAGCTAAACAAGTATTGCGATGGAACAATCAAGATCATGAGAAGAGAACTTGAAAGCAGAACGGCTGTAGATGACAAAGCTTCTGGACAGAACAAGTTAAGTCTGAGGGAGAGGTATCGGAATGCTTTAAGAAGATGTGAGACAAACTTGGGCTTTAGAAGATCAAAATTCACAATGTCTCGTGCTTGAATCCAAAGAGGGAGAATGTTGGGTTTAAGCTTGTGCTTTAAAGATTGTGTTCAAGCTTGTTTCTCCTAGTTAATTTTGTCTTTGTAATTGGTAGGTATAAATAGTTCTCTTTCCTTGTAATTAGTGTAGGATTATCATTGTAATCACTTTGAAGAAATTAAAGCAATTAATCTTTGGCAAATTCTCTCTTGGTGTTCATCTTTCTACTATTCTAAGTGTGTAAATTTGATTGAAGAATTACTGGGAATTTCATCAACATCACATATTACAGAAGTATTAGGGTCATCATTTGGATTTTAAGATCATACTTTTGACGATTACCATGAATTTTATAGACACGCAATCTAACAATCTAGGCATGCATAGGACAAAGAGCGTCACATTCATTAAAATCCTCATTAAATCTCGTGTATTGTTACTTGCTTTACTGCATTAGATTGTTTATGGATGTATTGCCTTGTATTTAGCTTCTGGTTCGTATATTATGCTTGGATAACCATTTACACCTGAAATGTTCCGTATTTGTTGTTAGTGATTTACATGCATTTGGGTTCTGGTATTTTGGGACTACAGGATAATTTGTGGGTTTGTTTGTCTAGATTTGAACCCCTACAGTGTACACCTAACAAGCACCAAATTGGCCCAATCTCTCACTAGCTATGACACTAGGGTTTCAATTATCAACTCTTAAAATTGACATACTCAATAAACTGATGAATGAATACTAATAGTGACCACCTGAAACACAAATTTTTGGTCACCTCTTGTGCCTAAGTCGATGAGCTACAAGTACAAGAATTCAAGTGAGGCAAACACCTGATAATGCATAACTTCCACTTCTTTAGGTTTCATATCACTAAAATCCTCACAAGTATTACATGCAAATTTTACCTGACTGGTGTGACCATGATTCCAGCACATATATTGATATATCAATCGTCAGTTTTCATGTCAAACTTTGTCGCTCTATGACAGATTTAGCCTTTCTTTATTCTAAGAAATCCACAAGGGCGTATACAAGTGCAATACAAGGAAGAATCATATAGGAAAGAAGAGTATGGAACACCTCAAACATCAAAAAAGCTTAATACTGGACAAGACAGACTCAACAAGAGAAAATCATGTTACCCCAAAGTCACATATATCCACTCACACCCACACTCTCACAAAACATAGTAAAGTAATTAAGGAATGTCTTTGGACCAAAATAATCCTTCAGTGGAATGTCTTTGGACCCTCTTATGAGTCAAAGATGCAAAATGTAACTACTAAGTAGCATAATTCATGGTAAAAAGTATCATTCACAGCCCAACCTGAAGTGATAGGTTTTCAGTTCCATATGGAACTTGTACCATGACCAAATCCTCTTAAAATTCAAGATAAAGTACAAATCCAATAGATTGTTTTGCTATAACTAAATTAAGTTCTATTTAAGAGATATAAAATGAACTTTTAACATAAAAAGAAAAAGTCACTACTGAAGTTACCACCATATAAAAAATTAAGCTACTCAAAATGGTAATCAAAAATTGGTTATGTTACAAAAATACAGTTTTCCCAATGTTTTGAAAAACGTTGAGTTGCTAAACTAGAAAACCTAATAGTTCTAAGTGCAAATAAAATGTATTGCATGGTTCAAGATAAATTAAGAATAATGATGCCGTTTGAAATGAACAGGAAGCTATTGTCTATGAGCTAAAATTATATATGAGAATATACAATATATCCATCATATATTGCGTCTTGATTCTTACCTGTCCATATTCACTAAGTGTGTCAAGACCAACAATACCAAGGTCTAAATCTCCTGAAACCAGTTTCCGCACGATATCTTTGGGGCGCTGAAACCAGACTTCTACGTTTGAAAGCTGCAATCAGATTTTGAGAATAAGTCAATTTCAAAGACAAGTTCAATCTTAGACGAGAACTTTTGTAATATCTCAAATGCAATGCGCCTATGCAGGTACTGTGAATGCCAACTTCCTACCAAGTTTTTGTCTAGCAGAAGGACAGCTCATGTCATCCAATAGCATTTGTAAAATGTTCAAAGGATATACATTGTGACGTCTATTCATAAATCATTTGTCAAAGTAAGCGGTATTTCCTGAAAGGAATGTGATACAGAGCACATAGTCCCTCAATAACCTTCCTTTATGCATCAGTCTTTTGAGAATATTACAGAAGACCATATAGCTCTATTATTTTGGTCAAAATAAGTTTCTGAGAAATAAATATTGGTGATCCAGACCTATACATAAATGCAAAAGTCATTGGTGACACTTGATCAGAGAAAGAGATTGTTGGAACCCTGAACTTTTAATATATATGAACCAAAAAAAGTCAGATTTTGTTATGATGGATAGAGTAAAAGCTCAAGGGCTACTGTTTTAAGTATATTCAAAATCAATCTCCCTGAACGGTACAACTAAGTTTAAAGAATGAAGGAGGAACCTATTATCTCCAAAACAATAACAATTTTTATTTAGAAGCAGTTGCAGTTGGTACTGGGATGAAATAATAGTACCTGTCTCCCAAAGCAAAGCCTAGTTTGACTCTGTGATCAATGTGCTCATCTTTCTTATTATAATCCATGCCAATTCTCGTTGGGCAGGAGAAGGTTTAATGGTTTATGTTATAGGGCACCGTATCAAGTATACCACCAATAAAAAAAAAATTGTGTTCTTGTAAAATGTAACTATACTCTGCCTAGCTTCAATCCAGAAATGAACATATAGGAGATTAACAAACAAATGGAATATTTTTCTACCATAACATAGGGGTGCAACACACTTTAAGAATGATAGCTAGAACTCCTGAAGATAAATTAGAAGGTATGGCACATAAGGCACAGTTGGTCATGTATAAAAGAAAATAAAAGCTAATTTTTTTGACTTAACTGAATTGATGGCTTTCTCATGCTTACCACTTGCTCTCTGTTGCTTAAATCATTTTAATGCACTGAGTTAACCTATTATGCCTACCTACATGAATTGCAAGTAAATCAAATTCAATATAAAAACCCCCTTCAAAGCATACAGTTCTACTCCACTCAAATACACTTTGTTTTTTGAATGTCACGGTCAATTTTAAATTTAATAAGAATCTCATTCAAATTTAACCCAACACTAATTTATTTGTGGTACTAGTTATAAAGTGCAATGCAATTTGGCCAGCTTATAAAATGTAATATAATTAGTCCCAGCTGGACCTGTCCCAACTGGTTGGGACTTCCTGGTGATAAACTAGTGGTCAGAGTTTGAATCCTACCCTGTGTATGCCCAGCGAATTACTAGGATAAGTCAGTGGGTGGACAGAATAAATTCCACCCCTCCTTTGAGTGTGGTTTTGGAGTCTCTCTTTTCTCAAAAACGTAACATAATTAGCTTTTCTGCTCGAATAGTTTAAAATTGTCAGTCAATTTCAAGGCTGAAAGGTAATATGTTTGACATTTCCAAACACGCTGCAACTTTTTTCAGTTAGTCATCAGAAGTTCAAATAGAAGGCACATCTATTTCTAGTAAAACATAGATGAACGGAGGTAGCAGAAGTTGTTGCGCAGATAACTACCCCAATTGGTTGCAAAAACGCACCTGAGGAATGTCTGCAACGTATTGCCGAGGATTAAGTTGCCGCACAGATAATTGACAATCCTTCCAAGCATAAAATAAGAGTCAGATAGCAAAGTAAACACTGAAATCAAAACTTCAAAAATATTAAATCAATTCATTGCAGATAGAAAGTATACTTTGAGAAGATCAAGCGTGTCAGAGGCCATTCGACCTTTACTCGGCAAACCTAATCTAATCTCATTCCTCTCTGTGGATTTCACGTCCACGTTTCCATTAACGACTGTCACCGGCGACGACATGGAGCAACATGAGACGGTGAATTTGATGGAAATTCTAGCAGAAAAATGCGATGATGGAGAAGGAAGAAACTGTGTGAAACCAGTGGCGGCGGCGGGATATTGCTGTAGATATGTTTGAATAAGAGCCATAGCTAGCTCTCCCCCCCTCTCTCTTTTTCCGATGAGATTTTCAAGGAACAGCAATGCCGCCGGGAACGGTAGATACCGAGTGGATTCTATTTTGGGGGTGTGATTGTCTGCAACAGATGTATGGCATGCTATATCCATCCGCTGGAAAACTCAAAAACAAACTATGTCGTTTTTAATGATTAAATCCTGAACTGCGTTTTAATTTAAATTTTTTTATTTTAAATAATTAAATTTATGAAGTTGTATTTCGATGAAACTGATAGTTAAAATAAGAAACGTTATAAGGGATCTCGATCCTTATATGTATTTTAGGATGAGATATCCCGGATTAATTCTCGTATCAAACATGATTCATGGAAGAGTTTGAGATTAAAAGTGATCAAGGATCCAGATCTCTTCTTATTTTCTCATCTTAGCTCTCTCTCTCACACGATCCTTCATTTAATCTATAAATATTTTTTCAATAAAAATCAAACATTTAAAAATTGGTTACTTGCATTATTTTAATCCAAAAAAGTACGTGTAACCAACTACAAAAGTTTTGAAGTAAAACGACTTGTAACCCCTAAAAGTATATCGAAAAGAGAGATTGATGGCAGGGGCAGGACAATGATGGAGCGATAGCAGTGGTGAGGGGGAGTGATATCGTTGTTTGCGAGGGGGTTTGAAGGAAGTAGTTTTTGGAAACGATAAAACTGATTTAAGTTTTTTTTTCATTTTAAGACTTTTCTAGTCAGTTATAGGTGATTTTTTGTTAAAAAGTTATAGGTAATCAATTTTTAAAAGTTGGATCATTTATTTATTATAAAAAAAATGTTCAGTGACTTATTCATTCGAAATGAGAAAATTTAATGGTTTTTTGATTCAAAAAAAATAGTTTAGGAACTTGATCATTCTAAACGAGAAAGCTTAATGGTTTTTTTATTCAATTTGGATAGTTCGTTGGATTTTTATGAACTTTTCCCTACTATTTTACTATTTAAATCGCCGATGCTACCTACATAAAATGTTTTTTAATAAACAACGGAGCAAATTACAAAAATGGTCCTTATGGTTATAAGAAATTATAGATTGGGTCATTTGAATTATGAATTAGGTACATGTGGTTTTATTTTCGTTATGGGTTGGCTCCTTAATACTAAGGTGTTATTTGGCAGCTTCAGAATAATTTACTGTAGAATATTTAAGTGGTTATAATGTTTAAGAGGCTCTATCTGATTAAGTGACATATAGAAAATGATTTTCTAGAAATTGTGTTAAATCTGAATTATGTAAAATTACCATTTTACCCTCAGTCTTGTGTTGAATGAAACTTAACATTTGATAAATGTTTTAAATGAGAAATAAAAAATAATTATTGGTACAAGAAAATGCATGAAAATTTTTAACAAAATATAGAAAATAATTTAGTATGAAATTAAAATGAGAAACAGAGAAGACAACACCATGTGTGTGTGAGAGAGAGAGAGAGAGAGCACATGATGATGAACTGAAAAAAAAAAAAAATGGAGATAAGAATCTAAGAGACGAGAAGGTAAGAGGGTGAAAGGCACTCTTGGAAGAAAATTTACATTCCAGTAATTTATCTTTCAGTCATTTATATTTTTGCAATTTAATTGACATTTTTTTACATTCTCTTAATTTATTTTCTGCAATTTACTTTTCCGCATCAGTTATCTTTACATCATTCGTAAGAAGAAATCGAAAGATGATGGGCTAAACGCCTTAGCTTGGGATGTAAGAGAAAATTAAGACTAAAGTCGATGTGGATGTACATAGATGTCTTATTAACATTATTGTCTAACTATTTCTTTCAGGTGATTAATATTTCATTGAAAATTACATTGAATTAGCTTACAACTAATTTTAAGTATGAAAATGCATTAACTTTCAGAGTTAAGATAAATAAGGAAATCTAAGGTAATATGAGAAGGCTATAAAGAGCTTTAGTATCTGACAAGTACTATTATACTCATACGGTGTATAATGGTAACACTGTGTTGTGTTAGAATTCACGACGTCTAAAATAAATGATATCTTATCGATAACACGTTGACTTGTGTGTACTCTTGAGAGGCCGTCTGATCTAATAGTTGATACTGCGACAATTCTATAACATCATCCTGTGGTATTATAGAACTGTAACAAGAGTGTTATATCATCTTTCTACTGGATCACATGTTTTATGTCTTAATCAATCTTTGCTCCTTGTGCTTCTTTTTATAACTGGTATTTTTTTTAGTTGCTAATCAAACCACCCAATTTTGGATAAAACAAGTCCCTCAAATTCGTCATCTAAAATTAGTATTTAAAGACTGGACTTTTGAAGAACTTTACAAAGCTTTCTTTGTGGGAACGATATATGGTACTTATACCATTATTACTTGTTACAAGACGATAATAGTTCAAGGTGTATAATCTCACTGGGTTTTATTTTTGTGTTGAAATATGAGGTTGCATAAATCAAACGAGCAACTAACAAGATTGGCAAAGGGATCAACTTTTTGTTTCATTGCCACCCAATTTCATGATGCATGTTGAGACAATGTACAATGCCTCAAACAAATATGATCATAACAATGACACCATATGCATATGAATGGAGATCCTTGTTTTCCACATTAAAACTATTTGCTTTTTTCCATTAAGACTTAATCATGAAGGTCTTTAAGATATACTTGATTTTATTATGACAAATTTGAAGCCTATTATTTAATTCCTTTGAGTTCAACATGTGTTTATGAATCCTTGTATGATAACTCACTCATGTTCCTAATTAACATATATGCTTTTAACATCTTGCATATACACATAGCATTTTACACACTTCGATTACTTTATTTGATAGCAATTGGAAATAATAAAAAATTGTATGCCTTTAAACAGGAAATGTACTGACTTAGTTTCAGAACACGCAGACGTAGGCTTATGAGATTGTTTTTGCATGAAGCTATGGCCATTATTATTTGGTTTTTCATTACGGTTTGCACTTTAATAGCCAACTACGAAAGGGATAAACCACGTGTTCGATACTCTTTGTCAAATATGGATCGAGCTTCAATATTGCATAGATATGCTTATGAGAGTGACAATATGTACATATCACAACTTAGGATGAACAGAAGGTGTTTCAAAAAGTTATTTGATATGTTGAAAAAATTAGGAGTATTACGAGCAAGTGGGGCATTTGGGTATTGATGAACAAGTTGTCCATGACATGGTGAATGGGAAAAATACGAGTGGGTTTGGCTACGATGATAAATAATGTGTAATTGTTGAAGCACCAGTTTGGGAGTCTTACCTGAAGGTAGAGGTGGCCAAAATTCGGTCCCGGGCCGGGCCTTAACCGGTCCCTACCGGGCCTAATCGCGACAAAAACCGGCGGTAACCGGTCCCGACATAACCGGTCCCGGTCCCGGTGATTTTCCTTGTAACCGGTCAAAGTTATTAGTAACCGGTTGTCCCAACCGGTCCCGGTCCCGGTCCCATAACCGGTCCCGACCGGGCCTATTCAAAAAAAAAATGATTTTTTTTAAATTTTTGGTTATTAATAAATTTTTAAWATGTTATTAATATGTTTGTAATATGATATTTTGAATATGTTTTATTATAAATACATTTTACTATAAATACGTTTTGTTATATATATATATATATACACGTTTATAAATACGTATTAACAATACAAATTTATATATATATTTTACTACAAGAAAAATGACCTTCAGAGAAGCTTTTATTTTGTACTTAAAAGTCTTAAAAGCTTCTCTAAAACCTTTAGATAAGCTTTTCAATTTTGTCAAAGACCTTCTCTGTGTGACGGTAGGTGAAG